CAAGGAGACACTGGGATTTCCTCCCCTGCGAGCCACCACACTAAGCCAAGGCAGCCCAGGTTCGGGGCACCAGTACAGCATGGTGATGCCCTGGTGCAGAAATAAGCACTCCCTGCACAGATCTGCCAGCTGGGACTGGCTGGTGCCTCCCCAGTGCACCCTCAGCCTGAAAGGAGCCGTACCTGAGCTTCACCTGCCACCGGAACACTGTGTGGGGCCCACAGCCAGGATGGAGGCGAAGGAAGTTTGTGTCACTGAAAATAAGTTGGGAGCAAGTCAGAAAAAGTGAACAAACAACTAGCTCAGCCACATCCAGGAGCTCTGCAGCAGCCTGGCACTGTCCCGAGGCATGCCTGTACCTCGTCTGGAACACCAGTGTGAAGTCTTGCTCCCGGAACAGCACCTTGGACGTCTCCTTGTGGATCTCCTTCACGTACACATGCACCACCACCAGGTCATTGCCCTTTTCATATGAGTCATTCTTGACAAAGGTCAGGCTCACAAAAGGCTCTGGCTCTGAGTGAGGAAAGCCGTGGAGAGGCATGTCACCTTCCCTTCCTATGCAGGCGGCCCCAGGAGAGGTCTTGAGCAGACGGCCCTTCCCGACCAGGCTGACTCCAGCCACTCACCATCAGCTGCTGCTTCCAGAGCCACGTCGTCCTTGGACCAATCCCTCTTCTCGCTGTCTCTGCCCAGGGGAGGGGTGGCCACTGGGACAGTCTTGGAGCTCTCTCCCAGGCCAGGCATGCAGTCCCGGCCCCGCAACGCCTCAGCAGGGCTGCCCGGCTGCAGGATCCTCTTCTCCACACAGGTGGCAACACGGTGGGGGATGACCTCTGTGGTAGCTGCGAGAGGTGGCATCTCCACGGGAACAGTCTCCTTGGCCAAAACTACAGCCTTTCCAGACAGAGGGACATGGTGAAAAACAGACACTGTCACCCCCGAGCTGCCCTGGCCCACCTCCCGTGACTCCTGCCAGCCAGGCAGGCACAGGCCTACGCCACCCGCTTCCCCCCAGCATCTCCTGCTTGGCTTGGCCCCGTCAGCAACAAAGCACATGCTCAGCCCAGCAACTGCAGGGTCTTCATGTCACCCTTTCCCCCACCACAGCGAGGCACACACTAGCCCTCAGCACCACCCATGGGACCCTGGAGCCCATCTCATCAGCAAGGACAGGTCCCTGAGTGAGCCGCACGCCCAGCGCAGGAGCCAAGGGAGCAGGGGGGACCCGTCTGCACAGGTCCTCGAGTACCTTCTCCAGCGGTGGTGTGATGTCTGTGAGGGCTGCGGGAGCATCGACCTGGCTGACTCTGCCGTTGCGGCGGCTGGCGGTCACCCCCCCCGGCCCCTTGGGGGGGTGCAAAAAAAAAATTGGGCTCCTCTTCAGTGGGAGCCACTTTGAGGTATACTGCCCGCTTGGCGCTGGGGCCACTCTGCGTCCCTGGGCTGGCTGGGCTCTTCCCTCCCAGGGCCTCACTTCTTCCTGGAGCACGCTTGGGGTTGGAGGGCTCTCGCCGGGACCTTGGTGGCTCTCCACCTTCAGCCCTTGGCTCTTCAGGGACCAGCTCTGCAGAAGCAGCCTTCTCCTTCCCGTTCTCCCAGCACGCAGCCCCTTTGGCCAGCTCTTTGGATCCGTCCTTCCTTCTCTTCTGTGAAAAGTGGTGCAGTACAGTGAGAAGCTATCCAGGCAGCAGCAGCTCTCACACTCTTTGCCCATCCCTTATCCTCACTCCCCCTTCCCAGAGCACACCGGGGCTCTGTTCCAGAACTTGGAGGCTATGCGGAAGGCAGAAACAGGGGCACGATGACGCCCCCCTCCCTGGGGCCCTTATACAACACGTGGATGCAGGATGTGCCCCACATTGCTCTCCAGGCAGCCCAAGAGCAGGGAGTAAAGTCCTCAACCCAGCTCCCCTTAGGCTCCCCAAGCTCCCCCAAAAGGCAGATCCTCCCCTCCTCACCAGAAGCGAAGACCAGGTGTGGAGTGGGATCTTTTTCTGAAGCACAAGCTGTAGAAAGTTGCCCTTCTTGCACTGGACCTTGCTGCAGGAGCTCTCAATCTCCTCGTAGAACTGACAGCTCCACTGGCGCCCGTCTGCAAGCAGAGGGGTACGGCACCTCAGGCAGCGCTCCACACAGCCATCACCCAACCCACCGCCTGCTTTCACCTGCCCCACAGATCATGGGGGCACTCATCCAGTGCCCAGGAGGCTGCAGGATTGCTGCCACCATACCCCAGGAGCCTTCAGGGCTTCCAGCCAGCTTCCCTGGGTTTGCTTTGTACATCTGGCTGGCCTCCTTCCCAGAGGGAAGCCCCTGGGCCTCCCTGCCCTCAGGGGCACCGTCACTTTTCCAAGGGATACCCAGGGCTGACTCAGTCATCCCACCAAGCAGGGGACAGAGACGCACCAGCACAGCAGTGGGCACTTTCCCATTTGGCGCACAGGCCAGCTCCTGCCCTCCCCAGCTCCGCATCCTTCTTCTTTTACACCGCTCTTGTATCAGCCCTGCCTGCGGCTGAAGCCATGCCAGCTGACAGCAGGGCATTGCCTCTGAAGGAAGGGTTTTATGCCCGCCTGGATGAGCCCCACGTCCAGCCCAGAGCTGGGCCAAGTTCCGCTGGAGAAATGCCTGCGGCAGTCGCCCTGCTCCCCGTACCTGGTAGTTTGACCACACAGTCCGTGTCGGTGAAAGTAGCATTCACATCCTCCACCTTCAGAGACCCACTGCCCAAGTTCAGCTTGACAATGATCTCGTCAGCATTCTGCTTCCAGTCCAGCAGCAGCTCTAGGAACAGGGAGGGAAGTGTCACCCACTCGCTGGGGCACGAGCCTGCGGCTGCGGCGCCCACTCTTTGGCTGGGGAGCGTGAGCTTGAACACATGCTCAGTTCAAGGAGGTCAACACAGGGAGCACAGACCATGCCAATTAAACGGGATGCTCGCAGCCTGCTCTCCTCAGGCCACAAACAAGAGCACATGTTATGGCAGGGCAGGTGATTCCTGGTGGGAACCAGAGAGATCAGAAAGCAGCACTGCTCTCGGCCCCGTCATGTGCAGCAGCAGCAGCTGGGAAGAAGGAGTGGCTCCTGCCAACTACAAAGCAATTGCTGCTTTCCCAGGGAATGGGGAAGCCACAGAATTACTCTGGGGGATTCAAGTGGACTCTGACCACAACCAGAAATTGCCGCTTCCCCTTTGCATATGCAAACCAAGCAGCCCAGCTGTAATCACCAAAGCGCTGCACTCCTGCCAGGTAAGCACAGCTAACGCGGCTGAAACACGGGCAAGAATGCCGCATCCAGGGAGAAAACAGTGCAGTAGCGTCACTCCGCTGCAGGCAGAATCCCCGTCAGGTGCCTGCCAGGCTGCCTGTGGCATCCTGAAGTTTTCAAGGCAAAAAAGTGATTCGACCACCTTAATTTCTATTGGGTTCATTCTACCCTCTATGGCATGAGGATGTCCTACTCTGACCTCAAAGCAGGGCTGGCCCAAGGCAGAAACCAGCCAGCAGCACCCGCTGGCTGACACGGTTTGGGATCTTCCCAGCTCAGCGCAGCTCCCTGCTCAAAAACAAGCAGGACAGACGCTGGCAGCAAGATGTCCCAGGGCTGTGCTCAGTGGCATGGTGACACCCGAGCGGGAAGCAGGCTGCCACGTGCCCAAGGCTGCTTCCTTGCAGACAGCCCTGCCCAGCCACGTGCACCCTTCTCTGCCCCTGGGAAGGCCGCACTCTGTTAAGACAAACGCTGGGGTGAGAGAGTGCTCAGGTTAGTTCTGCTCGATGCTGGGGACAATAACCAGGTGAGAGTTTCAGACCCCTCGGCGAGGGCACTCCATGGCCATGCACCGCCAGCCAGCACACACCTCGACTTACCCTCCTCTGAGTCCTTCTCCTGGGCGGTCTCAGCCTGCTCGAGCTCAGGGCGAGACACTGGCGGGCAGAGAAGCAGAGCGTGGGCTGGTCTGTCATTCTGTCACCTCACAGCAGGGGCCTGCACTCTGATGCCCAAAATTTCACACATCACCTCCTTCTCCCCTGAACCTCTGTCCACTCCTTTTACCCTGCATGTGCTGCTCATTTCCCTCCTCTGCTTCCTCACACCACTCGCTTCGCCGGAGCCTTGCCCACAGCATCGCAGCGAGTCGGCCCTCGGGACTGCTGCTCTGCGCTACACCACCACATCCTAGTCTAACCAGCACCACAGTGGGAGCAACACAACATCACTGCACTGTGCAGACAGCACTCCTCTGAGGCAGGTTTCATTGTGGAGCTGGTGGTAACAGGGCTGTGTGCCCCTGCTCAGCACACCAGGCCCTCAGCCTCAGCCGTACAGAGCAGTCCTGCCTCGGTCTGACAGCCAGAACCCAGCGTCTGGTCGTGCTCAAACCGATTCTGCTGTAACGAGAGAACCACGCGGCCCAGCTGCACTTTAACATTCCCATTCCTCTGCAAGCTGCCAAGGTCCACAGCTGAAACTTCCTTCCAGATCAGGCTGGGGAACCAAACCGACCTGACACCTAATCCCTGCTCCCTGCAGGATTACCTCGGGCAGCCAGCAGCATCTCGGGGCCTGCTCCACCCCCACGGGGCCACGAGCTCTGCCAGGCCAGGGGCTCAAAGCAACGCCACCTCATCCTGGAGCAGAGAACCAGTGGCAATGGGAGCCGTGGTCTCCAACCCAGCGTGCTCAGAAGGCTGTCACTGCCTCCCTTGACCGGCTACAAACCAGTAGGAAACCTCTGCTGACCACCACCGTCCCTGGTGCAAAGGTGCCAGCAGGGCTGGCAGCAGGAGAAGCTCAGAAGCAGCCCTGCCTGGAGGATCTACAGCTTGCTAGAGCCCCTCGCCACCCCTGCACAGAGGGGACAGAGGCAGCGGGGCTGCACCACAGCCCCCAGGAAGGCAGGAGCCCCCGCATCAGAAGGTACAGAGGGTCAGGCCTTGCTGCAGACACAGCACGCCTCCCACGCTGTGCTCTCTGCACCGTGGGATTTCGCATCGGGGGCTGCAGCCCGCCGTTCCAGCACAGCCCTCAGCACGCGCTGGTTTACCTTGACCTATAAAACACCCTGTGATTTTGAGGTTACGGGAGTCATAACACAGCAGGCACAAAAATCAGGCAATTTTCCAGGGCCACAGGCCTGCCAGAGGAACCCGGCATCCTGCCTGCAAGTGTTCCCTGCTCAGCACCAGAGCCTGCACCTGAAGCATCGTTTTCATCATCAGATACGCAGCAGCTAGCGAGGGAATTACTCCACAGCAACTGTTTGGCCTGAGCCACACCTTGCCCTGACACAGAAGCTAAAGCACCAGCCCCACCACTCGGCTGGCGCTGTCAGCACCAGTCGCTGCCTCGCAGCATCTGGCTTCTGCAAACTGATAGGGAAGCAGCACCACCTCCAGCTGCAAGAGCATCTGCAGGCTTCCATCTCACTGCCTCTGGACTGGGGCAGCTCAGCCCCAGCCCAAAGCAGAGTCTAGAAACAACCACCGGGGCCAACTCCACACTCAGCCTAACAGGGCTGCAGGCCCGACCTTCGCCACGTAGCTGGGGCTAAGTCGCACCTGAAGGGAGGAGGTTACAGGTCCAGGGAGGACACTGTGCCGAAGAGGATCCCACATCATATGGGTTACCATCAGCTGCAGGAAGCGATTAGTTAAATCTGCTTATCCTGCAGCAGATGGCCGCAAGGCTCCCACCCTGCGAGGCCAAGGAACCGTGGGCCTGCTCGCCGCAGCGCTGCCGAGGGGCTCTCACCTTCCTTGCTCTCCTGGTTGGCTCGATCCTTCTGCTTCTTCTTGTTGGTGGCATCATCCAAGCCCCGAGACACTCTCCTCTGGCCAGGGGCATTGGTGCTGCTGGACATTTTCAGCCGTTTGGAGGACACAAACGGCCCGCCGGGGTCGGTGATGGAGTCTGGGTCAGGGGTGCGACGTTTTCTTCCTGGCCCAGCTATCTTGGCGACTCTCTGTGGTCAAACTCTCTGGCAAGGAACTAGTGGCCTAAAGAGAGGAGAGAGTGAGCGTGGCAGGAGGAGCGGCGGGAGAAAGCCCAACAGCATCAGGATCCACTCTCTTCCCCAGCGCTGGACCCTCCCAGGGCCAGTGCCCTCACATGACCTTCACTGTAGTGTTTACGGGAAGCCCCACACAACGCCCGGTGAGGAAACCTACCTCATCACAGCTGTTACAATGCTTACTGCCAAAAGCACAGGCTTGTCAGAGCTCCCAAGATACAACTGGGGGGTCTTCCATATGTGGCACACATTAAAAACCTGGAAAGCAATTGTCACGCTCATGGCTCCCACTACAGCAACACCAGGCCAGAGGAACTGCTGGCGCTAACAACGCTTGGAGGCAGCGCCAAGGGTGAGGACACAGGGAGGCCCCAATCTGCAAAACTGAGCCTCCAGGGTCAACAGGGGCAGGCTGCCCCATGGCTCGGGGCAGCAGCTATTTCAGTCAAACAGCGTCTGTGAAAGAGGGCGGGAACGGGAGTGAGGAACGCCCTAAGAAGGAAGAAAGGGGAGAAGCAGGAGCAGGCCTGGGACAGTCTCCCGTGACAGATGAGAGCAGAGCTCCCTGGCAAGAGGAGAGTTCCTCCCCGCTCCGCCCACCAGCTGGGAGCTTAACCAGCACGACTGCCCCTTACATATTCATCCATCCCGCTGGTTTACAGACAGCACCAGCAGGGCCTGGCCTGGAAACAGGACACCTCTGCTCCGCGTGCCCCAGGGACAGGGCAGGGCGCGGGCCCCTGCCCCCTCAGCCATGCCCTCGCAGGCGCAGCCAGCTCCCCTACGGGGTTTGGGAGCTGCTGACCCAAGGGCTGGTCTCAGTTTTACTCTCCGGTTTCACCCCCGGGTGTTCATGGCTTTGAGGAGAGCTGGAACAACCCGCTGAAAACGGTCCCAGTCAAGGTGCCTCTGTGGAGGCAGTGAAAGCAGAGAGCTGGGAAGGCTTCCTCCTCCCAGCCCCAACTGAACGCCCTGACCAATCGCTCTGCAGGGGTTTGCTGTGGGGCAGCGGGCCCAGTCACACGGATCCTGCCCCCCCCCAGGTGCCGGCAGCCCGCAGCAGCTCCCAGTGCACGGGTTCACACCTCATCCCACAGCCCTGCTCCCGTCTGAGCACAGAGCTAAGCCCAACAGCACCTTGGTCTGGCCCAGCTGCACTGATCCTGCCTCTTCCTCAGCGGGAGACAAGCCGTGCCCTGGGGAACACCCTGTCCTGCCCTCGCCCGGTACCCAGCACAGACCCCACAGCTCTGCTCGGGCACAGCCGGGGACAGGAGGCACCTCCAGGGG